AGCATTTGTAGCGGATTAGCTACCTCAATAACCTTGACTATTCTCAGAAAGGTCTATAGCAGTTTCTTCCAAAGTCCCCGGGAATTAGCTAATCTAAGACAAAGTTATTCAGTACGTATCTCGATAGCGCATTGTGTACACTCAGGGAGCTACTCATGGTCAGGATGGGGGATTAGGTTAAACAGAGGTTAATGATTGGTCACTGTTTGTACGGTCACTGCACACAGATTTGTACGGCCGCACCTCCCAATCCTGGCGAGCAGACATGCAGCCATACGATGACGCACACAGCGATAACGTGTCCCACACATTACAAGATTGAACTAATTTTAAAGTGAATGAATAAGAAGCGTTAAACGAGCTCAACTATGTTTCATAGCCCAGTATTCGTCTCGTATTGTGGAAATAAATTCAATTGAGTGAATTGAGAGATACGCTTTGAATGTTGCATAGTAGAACTTTCCTGCAGAATTGTGCCCCAAAATATGGAAACCTAATTTCCGAAGGGCAAATGGCACTATTTATTAAAAATAACTGGTGACCTAATAGATTTAGAAACAAGATAAAATCAAAATTTACAATAGACGGGCTAAATTATCTAAATCCCAATTTTATGCTTTATTGCACCGTTTACTTTCTCCCAAAGCATAGGTTTTCAAAATGTTTTCATTGTGTCGTAAACTCGTAATAAAAGAAATGACGCGATTGAAGGGGATTAAAAGAAAACCCAACAAATAAGGTCATTACTTCAGTAATGTTTTTGGCCTCAGCTGCTCAAAATTAGCTAAATAGGCAGTTTGTGTTCCAATATACCCAATTCGTCACCCTGTGGATTGCAGCAACTTATAGAGAGAATACAGATTACTGTTTATTGACGGGCATCATTGAATCAAAAAACGTCTGTCTTGTCTTTTCATTGTGTTGCGTTTTCAAATACTCATAACTGTAGTATAATGGAGAAGAGATAGTTAACAATCTTGAGTCAGTAAAACCCTGCAAGATGCCTCGAATTCTAGAGGAATTAATAATCTCTTAACTAGTCCAATGGATATTTAATATTAAATTCGAAACTTATGGTACTTATGGAATAAGTACAAAGTCACAGTAAAACATATGATCCACGAAAATCAGTAGAAAACGTTTACTTATATTCTAATAATTAGCTCTAACAATCGGAAAGCAACAAATTTTAAGATTACTTCAAACAATCCACATTTGTAATTTGCAAGACATTATTGCATAAACCTGTCTTTTTTATATCATCCTATAATGCAATGCGATTTCAATTTTCAAGTTAAATTCGTGCCAAGGTTAAAAGGACACAGAGCATTTATGCTAGTAAAAGTAATAAAAATTCATGAATTTGTCACCTTTTTTATAGTTTACCAGGTAAAATAACTCAATTCTCCTTGGAAAACTTTTTAATGCTTTTTTCGCTTTACTTTGTATACAACCAGGTTATAAACAACAAATTTAATCGTCTTAAGCAACACACAAGAATTTCCATAGAGTTAAAGGTGAGGTGACGTTATAATTATAGTGCCTGCGAAAGAATAATCATGAATAGTTAACAGGTAAGTTGTTTTATATCAGTCGTGAACAGTCTATTTCCTCAGCCTTTGGAATAGAGATTTAACCCAACAGACCGACAAGCTTAGTTATACGATTGATGATTTGGAAAGATGGGTTGTGGATGAGAAATTTCAATTTTAGAATCGCTGAAGTCTCAACTTATCTTTCCGAATTGCTAATACACTAAATCAGAACTTCTGAAATTTAGGTTTGGGTATATATATATATATATATATATATATATGCGTGTGTGTGTGCGTGTGTGTGTGTGTGTATTCAGGATAGAAACTCATAGAATTAGGTCATTATAAACGTTTTAGCGTTTAAAATTGTAAAGATCTATTATAATGGTAATACATACAAAATTTTGAAGCTGAGACGACCCAACTGTTGATCGGTTCCATGATCTTGAAGATGACCCCTCTTTGCTGCAATTTCCCTTTCCAACTCCTCTCTTCTTCTGCGTTCCTCCTCCGCCTTCTGCACCTTCAAAGTAAGTGCTTCAAAGGACTGCTCCATTTCAATTTCTGCCATCCGTTTCTCCAAAATTTCCTCTGGAATTAGAGTTCCGGGCGGAAATTCGCCTGGAAAATAAACAATAATTAAATAAAATTTAAATGAACTTTCTTAAACGCTATTTGTTTCTCCGATGTCAAAACAATTTATGGCGCTTCGTCTTATTTCAATCAACTTTATGAGCTTCCTTCAAATATATAACTTTACTTTGCAAAAGGACAAATATATGAATCAACAGGGACACTCGGCTAAGTTAGTTAAATAGAGTGAAGGGTTTAAAAAAAACTTGTTCGATTTCTTGATTCTGAAGGCCTTTTCCAGTTATCGAAGATGAATATACATTGTTCAGCTTATCGAACGAAAATCAAATTAACATTTTATTGCCAATTATTCATAAATCCGAGTAATTATTGCTGTTTTGGAGTAAATTCTGTCAGCAAGACAGTTACATATTACTATTAAGTGTGCGATAGACTTACCTCCACGTGGTGCACCCTGGGCAACGTATACTCATACGGCAAAAAAGTCTATTAACCGGCATTTGACTTCTGACTTCAAAATACCATGGCCCAACTGCTTGTCATATTCGACCCCTTCACAGTACTCATCTTACCTTTTTCCCTACCTTTATGTCTGTCTGCCTCTTTTACATCTGTGAATCGCTCTTCTGTTCCCCACCCCTCGACTTTTTGCTACTTTGATGAACCTTCCCTCTGTGAAGCCCGAAGTCAGCTAAGTGACTAATGATATCTATCAAAACGCCTGCCATTTGAAATAAATAAATACTATTGAGTTGAGGGATACGTGACTACTAAGAGTCTAATCGGTCTCTAGCACACACAAAAAACATCCTTTGGTGTGAATTAAAAAGTCATGCAATATAGATATCAATTCACAGCGAGGAAAAAATGGTGTCTTCACGTGTTAAGAGTCTGGAAGATAACCTTAAATTTATTCAATTTCATAAAGAATTGTTTTAATAATTTTAATTGAAAATTATTAATTAACACTCTATACGTCCCCTTTCACGATAATTCTGTCGTTGAGCATACCGGTGCGTCCGATCGATTCTCATTAGTCGTTGTCGTCGAATTAATTAAGTATGCGTTACCCTCGATTCAGTCCTTTGGAACTCCGTTAATCCTGTATCAAACAAATTGTTCACAGTGGAAGAACGCATTTCCTCTGTGGTTTTTAATCGGCCTCAACTATTTACCTACATTAATGCATTTCACCTTCCTATTGACATAGTTTCCGCTTATGAAATAATTAACCAGTCAATATGAGTCGCTTCTTCCATCAGAGTCTAGCACGAAAAATGAGGGAACAAAAATTTCGCGCATACCAACTTGAATATAAGGTTTATTTATTTATTTCAAATGGCAGGCGTTTTGATGGTTATAATTAGGCCATTAGTTGACTTCAGGCTTCACACTAGGGAAGAACATCAATGTGAGAAAAAGTCGAGAGGGGGATAGAAGAATGAATTACAGATGTAAAAGTGACAGACCGACACAAAGGTAGAAAAAAGAGAGGTGAGTACTGTGCTAGAAGAGTGATTCACAGATGTTAAGGAGACAGACACAAAGGAAGAAAAAAGGTGAGGTGAAAACTGTGGAAGTAGTCGAATATGACATACAGTGGGGTGATAGTAGTTTGAAGTGAGAATTCAACTGCCGGTTAATAAACTTTTGCCGTATGAGTATACGTTACTCAGGGTGCACCACGTGGAGGTAAGTCTATCACACACCCCCTTGAATATAAGATAAAAGCTGGCTTTAAATCCTGCTCCGCAAGGTGTTATCTA